CCACACAGGAGTCCCGCGGGCCTTGTGTTGGACAAGTGAGTTATCTGAAAGTGTAAACTTGATAGCCATTGCAAAGTTGATTTATTTACAGAAGCAATTAAGATTGTGTCTGTCATATGAAGAAATAAGCAGCCACAATCCATTTAGCGAGTTTGCTTTAATAAATATGCAAAATACATATGACGATGATCAGGACGCACAAAGTACTGAGTGGAGGAAGTGCAGATATAATTATTTTGCGCCGCAGTGTGACTTATCAAACCTTGAAACTGACTGGGGCGGCTGTTTTAGTGTCTTTAATTTGTTTTATTTATTTTACTGTTATTTATCCAGGTAAATCCCTTTGAGATCACAGATCTCTTTTCAAAGACAGTCTGGGCCTGAAGGCAACCTATTGTACATATTTTTGGGTATGGGGGAAACTGGAGTACCTGGAGAAAACCCACGCATACATGAGAAGAACATACAAATACCACTCAGAAAGTCCCAGGTCTGAACCGGGGATCGAACCAAAGACCACCTCACTGTAAGGCGTCGGTGCTAACCACTGAGCCGTTGTGCTGCCAAATATTCACAACTAATGTAATTGTGTTTTTCTTTGAACTCTTTAAGAGTGAAAATGAGAGCATAATTCTCTCTGCATCTTTCAGTCATCTCGGCACTCATCTATGCCACACGTCTCTCTCTGCTGGACAGCCACCTGGTGCGGCAGGAGATGTGTGTGCTGCATCTATGATGCATGATTTGATTAACAAATGAATAAAACTTCTTTTAATTTGATGTTGAAGTATCACATAAACATTCAAGATGACAGCGCAACAAAAAATTAAAACAAATAAAGTGAACTAATAAAGCATATTTTTCTGTTGTTTTTTTGTCAAGGCTACAAATGGTAAATGGCCTGAACTTGAATAGTGCTTTATCAAGTTCAAGGACTCCAAAGTGCTCCACACTACAGTCATTCACACACTGACAGTGGTAAGCTACATAGTAGCCACAGCTTCCCAGGGACAGACTGACAGGTGGGGCTGCCAAGCATTGGTGCCACTGGACCCTCTGACCACCACCAAAGCAACCAAAGCAGGTGAAATGTCTTTCTTAAGGGCGCAGTGGCCAAAACTGATGGAGCAGGGGTTTGGACTGGCAACTAACCAGTTACATATTGACTCCCCTACCTCCTGTTGCCCCACAAAGACTCATGCGGATCAGGAGCCGCAGATTGCCCACCCCTGTTCTATGGAAAAACTCTTTCTTGCATCTGATTTGCCTCTATCAATGAGACACATTACATCCACATTTCAATGCGGCCGTCTGCACCACCATTGCACCTGCTGTTTTTTGCTCATGTAGTCTTAGGAAATTGCATGCAACCCACCCACTTTTAGCACAAGCTATTTTTAATTTGCCCAGCTATTTAGTGATAGTTCTCAGGGATATTGATAAATCAGCCCCTATGAGTACTAAAAGATTTCACAGCATTGGTTTAAAACATTGGTAGTTAAAGTGATGGCAATAGTAAGAAGTATTCTTGCAAAGGAGTATTCCTTGAAGGAATGAATATTATGCATTTGACAGTATAAATATTTGAGAGTTTAAATATACTGTGTTCCAAATTACTATGCAAAGGATATTGTAAGATTTTGACTATACTGAGTCATAAATGAATCTCACATACACATAGTTTTTATGCTTGAGATGCTTAGAATATTTTTATAATCAATGTCAAATCTGTTTATTTTTATACTGTAATTAAGTTGTTATAAGGACAACTAGTTTCTGAGGGACTATCTAGTGACACGCCTTGCATGAATACAACACAGTCAGGCACATAACATTTCTACATCTGAGATTTCAGGACTTTTTTGTTTGTGAACTGATACACCAGATAGGTGAAGACATATCTCCTGCAACCATGTCATTTCCAGGAGGTGTGACTCAATTCTGAGGAAAATTGTTAAAAGCTACTGTATTGAAAAAGAATATTACAAACTGCCATTTGCTGAGATTCCAGGCCAGAGGGAGGCTCTGGGTAAAATGGTCTGAAGTGATTTGATAAAGTTAATATGTCTGCAAATATATGTTCAAGTCTAAGAACTGGATAAGTTTCCTGTGACTGACTCAGACTTTCAATTGAAATCGTTTCTAACAGATCTTTTTCTCCGATTTTCCTAAATAGTCAAAACAAATAACAGTCAACATATTTTCATGTCATCAGTTGTTAGATTACAATTCAAATTTTATTGAAAAAAAAAAGGATACAAATATTTTTTTCAAAAAGTAGAAAATTTAAAATGCACTGTTCCAAATTATTACAAACAACTGTTTCAAAACATTTCTCAGGTTGTACAAAACTGAAATGGTCATTTGTTGAATTACCAGCAGTAGAAGGTAATATTTACTGAAATCAAAAGCTATTTCAATCCAAACCATCTTATTTGATTGAGTTACATTTTAACATAGGATCCATTGAATAGGTGAATTTTTTGGAGAGTTTCTGCCTGAATTTCTTTGCAGGATGTCAAAGTAGCCTATCAGAAGAGGCTGTCTTGAAGTAAACTGCCTCCCACCCTCGGAGATCTTTGACTTGAGGCTCTAAAGGTTCTCAATAAGAACCTAACTTGCACAGTATGTTAGTGGACACTAAGTTATGGTAAAGGCAGCTGCATTTTGGAATAGTTTCCAATTTGAACAAAACTATGTGATTTTTAGATACACTTTTAATTGTTTTTTTTTTTAATTTCCTAAATGGAAGTTCAGAGAATGTGTCAGACAAAGTTTTTCATTATATTTTAACATTTGGATCACATCTTTTAAACAAAAATAGAATAATTCTTTTTATCAACAAAAACTTTTGGCATAGTTGCATTTCTGTCATTCTGTGAAAATCTTAACAGTAATGTCTACATTTTCAAGACAAAATCATTCTAATTCTAAAAATTTAAATATTCCATATTTAAAATTCCATATTCACCTCAAGATGTAACCCCCTCCATCAATCTTTCTAGATCCTTTTATATCTGATCTCTACATATATAAACTTCCTCTCTAACAAATAATTACATCCTATTCAGCTATTTTAAATGGTCTTTGAATAGATCTGTTCAACAAAAATATATTCTAGCTTGTTCCATTAGGATATCAATACATTTTTCCTAGCAAATAGATATTAGTTTGCTAAAATATATTGTATCAGTAACTCAGCAATCAAAACATTAAAACAATAACCTAGGACTGCACTGTAGTCTAATAAAAATTATATGACACAGAAATCCAACTTATCTGAATGTTAAGAGTTAAAATGTTACATCAAACCTTAATGCTTTGTTTATGAAAAGGTTCAGGCCCAGGCCTCCCTTGAAAATCAAACCGGTAGTCTTCAAATGATTTTTCAGGTTAAATAAAGCTGAATAAGTAATAAATACTTAAATAACAACAAAATAATAAAATATGCAACTTATTGTGGCGAGTTTAAAATATTCATAGTACTTTTTTCTTATAAATCACTATTTTTAACATGACTCAAATAACCCAGATAATGTCAGACAATGTATAAAATCTTCAGCCACTGATTTTAGCTTTCAGGTGACAACAAAGATAAAACATGAGAACAGGTCTGATGGTCTGATCTCTTAGCCCATAAATGAGAGAACTCAGACATCTTGGGAAAATTATTAAACAAACATAAAAAACATTCTGTACCCACAAAAATGTCGACCGTGTTAGCACTTTTGAAAGAGCTATGATTAATGGGTTGTTAATTGTTGAGGACAGGCTGAGGCCTAGCTGCACCAGATGCAGTAGAAGTGTGTAATGAGCCTTATGAGCTAAAGCTTTATCTGTGGAGGCTGACCTGGCTGCTACAATGACACTAATGTAGGAGAAAGTGACAGCCACACCAGCTGTTACAAACAGAACACAAGTGTAAGCTTTGTCATACTCAGCTGTCAGAGACCCGAGCACTAAAGCTATGTTGGAACATAAGTCTCTTATCTGTAACCTCTCCACCTTTTCAAACGGAAACTGTAAAAACAACAGAACACGAGTCAGATTGTTCAGTGAACTCACAGCCCAAAGTACAACAATAGCCATGTTTGTGTTTTTGATGGTGATGATGGAAGCRTGCCTCAGTGGGAAGCACACAGCTACATATCTCTCCAAAGGCATTACAACCAGAGTGAGAGGGGAAATCCCAGTCGTGAGATTGGCCAGCATGCTGAGAGCAGTACACAAAGAATATGTCAACTTTACTCTACAAACAGAGAGTAAGAACTGAACCTGACTCTGAGCCAACTGAACAGTGTCTGCAAGAAGAAGGTTATACAGAAGAATATAACGGCAGGTGTCACGAAACACAGGCTTACTCCTCAGAGTGAACAGCATGACACCATTGATGTACAGAAAAATGAAGGATGGAACTGTAGACATGGTAGAAATTATAATTATACGCAGCGAGTCCAAAATCTGCACTTCATCTGTGATGTTTGACTGAGACTGGGATACATTTACCATTACAGAGAATACAGGATATGTGCAAATTCACTTGTTAATGTGACAAAAGACAAAATAATATAGTGTTCCTATAATCATTTCAATGAAACCTTTCTTAAAAACACATAATTAGTAGAATAAAAGAAATACTCTAACTTATACAAAGACAATCAACCTGTGTTGAGGGGAGCAAGGTATGCTGGTCCTCCAGCTTTTCCTGATGTTAAATTGTGATTATAAGTTCTGCCCTCTCAATTTTCATATGTCAACATTGCTTGCAAATAATCAAATCCCCACTGGTTCCCATATGCCAGTGGGATTCCAATGTGTTTGTAATTGTTCTGAACATCTGCAAGGTTGTCATCACCAGGCAGTTCAACCCCTAAAATTTTAATCACCTCTTCTCTTGGATATCATTTGAACACATTTATTCAGTCTGAATGAAGTAGCAAATTGTAAATTGCCTGAACTTGTACAGCCTTTTATCAAGTTCAAGGACTCCAAAGCTCTTTACACTACAGTCAATCATTCATTCACATACTGGTGAAACGCTACATTTTACAACCCCTGGCAAAAAGTAAGGAATCACCAGTCTTGGATGAGCACTCATTCAGACATTTCATTCTGTAAAACAAACTCAGATCAAAAACACGATACAATAATAAGGTCATTCCAAAGGTCAACTTGTTGGCTTTCAGGAACACTCAAAGAAATGAAGAGAAAACATTGTGGAAGTCAATGAATGTTACTTAGGTTACCCTAACCAGGACATTCTGATGATATAGGGGCTGCTARAACAAGGCATTCATAGATAAGGGCAGAGAACTTAATACCAGAGGTAAGGTATTAAGTTGATACCTTTTAAAATGCCATTATACAAGCAAGCTYGGAAAGAGAGGCTATAAGAGAAAGATGTGAGAACTTTGAAAACATTCAGACTGACTCAAATATTGATGATGTTCAACAAAGATATGACAAGCTCTTTTGAACACTTTTCACTGGTTAGCCATCTATAAAACCACAAAGAGATGTAATGTGTGATCAATAGAGTTGATTGATTTTAAAACAGAAATTTAAAAAAATGGAAAGACAAAGATTTGACAGCAAGAATATGTAAAGTTAGCTGATGACTTAGTTTGACTTAGAAGTTTACCTTCTGAAAATAAGAATATAACTATCTTAAGCCAAATCAAACACAAACAAAAAAATGTTTAGCATCAAGAATATAAACTTACTGATGTGCCATAACTTGTATTATCCCTATCAGGCACAATGTCAAAAATACATGGCCTTTCTATTCATCTTACCATGAATTAACATAGGACAACACTTTTATCTAGATAATATTACACTAGCATAGAGCTGTCTAATTTTATTGTTTGCTAACTCAGACAATATCGACTTAGGATTCAACTCCATAGTTTTCAAACTAAAAACAATGCAATCTAAATTATGTTATACATTACAACATTATTAGTAATTTAAATTATTTGCTCAGCTAACTTGAGACAAGTTTTGTTTTGTTAAACTTTTACATTGTTTGTCCCCACAGAAATGAACTTTATCCACATCTCATAAACATTACTCATAAACACCTATGGGGTAAATCTTGCGCAATATTTACCAGAAACAGTCAGTAAGGGTTTGAATATTTAATGTACCTAAATGACTTCTCAAGAGACATGCTCTCATGTGACATTTTTATCCCTTAGACATAGAACTGATTAACAAAACTGAAAAACAATATTTCCATAACAACAACCCCTTGTATTTTGGAAAGTTTAGAACTCTAGGTTTTTACTTCAGACTTTTTGCAAGTTAGATATTTAATCTGAAAGAAATTTATAACTTTAAAATTTAACAAGTAATTATTAAGGAAGTGCTGTGGTGCGTTTTGAAGTGGTAGGTGCGGTTTGAGCATTTGACATGTGTGTGGCACGTCCAAAGCAGCTAACAATGGAGTTGAAAATTTTGAACTTTTGCTGCTCGCTGCAGCTCATCAACCAATTCAGAATCAGAATCAGAATACTTTAATGATCCCTGGGGCGAAATTGCAATTATGGCAGCTGCAGCCGTTCAAGTAAGCATTAGACATAAAGTATAAAGGAAGAAATATTCGAGCACACAAAGAAGAAATAAGTATTAAAAACTCTGGAGAACCAGATGAGCACAGAGAACAATGAGCATTAGTACGATCCCCGCACGCGAAGCGTAAGCGGGAGTCATTTTGTTTTCGTACTATTTTTTTTTCTCTGGAGATTTTTGGTCAACCGTAGCACAAAAACGGCTGCACCGATCAACATGAAATTTGGCAGGGCTGTAGATGAGTCTGACCTACACTGCGCCAGCCAACGGTTTTACAATAGACCCCATATTTGGGGAGGGGGCTCCCTTCAAAGTGGGGGTGTCAAGACATGCAAAATTGCTTATACTGTAACTCAGAAACTGATCAACATAGAAGCTTCAGATTTCTTAGGGTCACAGATCATTTTCTTGAAAAGGAACGGAGGGTAGAATTTATAAACCCACACATTTTATTATGTAGGCCGAAATTGAGCTTCCTCTTCTTGAAAGACCATCATCCGCCACTGATTCCTAGTCATACTTTACTAGCGTGGAGTGCTCTTTTGTTGTGTTTCGGAACAATCTGACATTTGACAACTCAATAGCAGGTAGTGTTAACCAGCTGCCTCTCCTCCTCAGTCGGTTTTGTATGCCTCTTCAGGATTCTCTTCTCCTGATCTGTTTTTGTTTATGTGTCCAGAGCAGCTACTGAGGAATGTTAGTATTGTGGAGGGAATCATGCACTGGCTCCTGTAAATGGCGGCCTAGCTTCATTATGTAATCAGGAAAATAGGTGAGTCTGCATCCGTTGATGTCCTGATGCATCTCAGTAATACAGGTAGAAAAAAAAGAAGAACACGTCCAGAGGACCTACCGGTACTTATTTTTTCTTTTTGGYACCTCCATTGATGTTGAGTGATGATGCTGCTGGTGAAAGAAGTCTTTCTACGTGCTCCAGCATTGTGATGAGTCAAAGGCAGACCAGGTAGAAAGATAACATTTTGAACATTCTGATTAAAGTTAAAAAACACCATAAAAACAACAGTAAAATAACTTCATAAACAATAAAAATGCACATGCACACGCCAAGATCTCGTCAAGAGTCACTCACACAGAGTAGCTCCCCTGGTAGTTAAAAGGTTCATTAAATGAAGTGAACACAGTCCTATTTGGCACCAACCATATGCTGGCCAAAAGAATTAACAGCAGTTTTAATCTAACACCTGAAATGAACTTCATCATGGTTGTCCATTTAATGGAGTTGAAAGCTGTTGTTTAATATCCTAAGACATTTCTGTCATTGTGCTGCTTTGAACATGAATCTTTTGTGGATGAAAAAAATGTTATGGTTATTTGATGAATAAATTATTTTGATAAATAAGCTTGTTTAAATGTGTGCCATGTCATGAAACCACTTTGCTTGTGACTTTTTGGCATTTGTAAACAAAACGGATTTTTAATAAATCATACCTAATTTACAACACATAACATAACATCAGTTTAATATGATACTTGTTCCCTGCCTCCATGACTTTATCAAAATTAAATAGTTTGTTTACTGTAAGATTGTAACTTCTGCATATGTAGTGTGTGTATATATATAT